AATTACAATTAGAGTGTAAATTAGATTCATGTGTGAACTATGCCTTTAAGTCCAGACATGATCATAAGACTGAGACAGCCTCTAGTCACTTTATGACATGAACACTGATAATTTGGCAGTGTTTAGTATTTGCTGTTCTGAACTTACGTAATGTGTCTATGTATGATTTCAGTCATGCAGGGTATCTGTAAATATCAGGTACAGTTTCATTCAAGAGAACCTGGACTTGGTTATTCGTTTGTTGAAGATGTTTTTCTGCTCATCTCTAATTGAGGTGAATCTCTAGGTTTTTAAACAACTCCACATAATTTGATGAGAACTACAGGTTACAGAGGCATTGGTGATGAGGTCAAGACTGCAGGGCCAAATGCATTATGGGAAAAAGATAATTTTTTTTTAATTTTTCAATTGATCCCCCCTTGAGTATATTGGAGACTTTATAGTCTTCGGTCTACATTAGCATTATTAATAGCTTGATTATTTACATATTTTTTGATTAAGCTTTTTTTCTTGTTTGTGTTTTATATATGTATATATATATACAGTGGCGGCTCGTCAGGGGAGGCAGGGGAGGCACAGCTTCCCCAAAATGTTGAGGTGAAAATGGGAGGAAGACAATTTAATGTTAATAAAATTCACAATTCATTTCAGTTCATGTCTTAGAATGTGTATTTTTTGTTTGTAATTTCACAGCTGTAATACCATAACAAGAATGAAGTTGGAAAGCGCTGCTTTTCTATCGTGAATGTGCCGAATCTGCTGATGTAATTACAACCGCTAGGTGATAGAGAAGGGGAGGGGGAGGCCGGGGAGAGCTGAGCTCTCGTACCTCCGTTGGTAAAAAAAAATTAGCCAATCAGCATCGAGTGTTCACTTTCAGTGCTGAGGAGTGTTGAGAAAAGAAACCTCGCAAGTGAGGCTAGCCTCCTTCTGATATCAACCACTCATCATAGAGACATAAATTACGTGATATTAGTTTGAACGTCTCCCGCTGCGCTGATAATGTACCAAGTAGTTATGAGTAGCAATATTGAATATTTGATCGCCAACAGATTTACCAAGCTGTCATTCAAACAGTATACATACAAATTTAAAAAAGGGAAAGCACGCCTAACTGGATATAGGCTATAGCAGTCGGCTTAATTAAATGTCACAAAAGGGCTGATGACGCAAGAGTTGCAACTATGGCAGCTGAGAAGGCCACTCTTTGTGTTCTTTTTGAAGAATTTTCGGAGCCTGATGAAATCGGTATAAATTCATGTTTAATACTGCAAAATACGCTCGATGTTTGTTCTTGTGAATTTATTTGGATGTTAATTACATTGTGTGAGCTGTCTCTTTAATACCGCGTGGTTTATATACATGTTGCTGCTGATTGGGCTGACATTTTTTACACACCCACCAAACAAGAGAAAACCTATTTCAAACCCCGTTGCACACCGTTTTACAGTGTAATAAAAGTTAAATTAAGCACAGAACTTGTATGCACTGTTAAAGTTTGCCACATATTTGACAAAACCATAAGCTAATTCTCAAAACTCCATGAATCATTATTCAGTAATATAAAAATAATAACCAATAATAATAATAAAGTATAAAATAATAACCATTTTGCACACATTTTCTGGGACGAATAAATAATTGATATTTGGGTTAAAACAAAAGGAAGCATATGGATTTTCATTCGCCACAGACATACATTACATACAAAATATACAGTACAGATAAATTATTATTTTTGTACTATTTATATGCTATTATAGGATTTCTTGATATTTTTAATTAGCTTTTTATTTTTATATTTTAAGTTTTTATTTTATTGTTATTTTTTTAAGTCAATTTTGATAGGTGCTTTTAGCATTTTAATAGTTTTTGTTTTTTAATATTTCTATGTAGCTTTAATCTATTTTTATTTCTGTTGTAGTAATTTTAGTTAATCACCTTAAACTTATTTTATTTCACTTAGTTGCAAACCAAAGCTAGTATAATTTTAGTTAACAAGTAACACTGATATAAACAAGTGAGTATTTATAAAATTAATGAGAGAAACACTTTCTCTTAGCAAACACACCAAGTTCTGTGCTTTAGTAAATGCTCAGAAGCTGTTGAGTGGTCTCACCCTTTGCGGTGTAGATAGGGTGTTTAAATACTATTACTATTAAATCAATTAGTATTGCAATTAAAATTGTCGCTACAGTGGAGACAAAAAAAATCCTTCACAAGCATACACACACAAAAAAAAAAAATTGCACATGACTGTGCTAACATCAGCCTCTCCCACATACACACACGACAACGGGCTCACACACACCAGCAGTCGGTCCTTTCCCAAACACCAGGCCTCTGTGTCTGTAATTCACTTGCTATGTTGCTGCTGGTTTGTTTCACAACACTGTCACATCCAATGAGATTCTCTCCCTGTCCTGGCTTCATGCCACTCAGTGAGAACAGCACACAGTAGAGACCCTCTCGCTGTCGCTCAGATTGCACCCTCCCCTCCATCAGCATTACATATCAGTGTCTGGCTACCGTCAGCCCACGCTGGCCCAGTCACGCACACTGAGCTCTTTACTACAGGGTAATTCCATGGGCAAATCCACAGAGGGCATAATGCAGGGATTAGAGCTGCAAGGCATTACAATCCAAAATATATAGCACACTTCAAACGCATCTCTATTCACCTGCCAGTACACTCTCTCTCTCTCTCTCTCTCTCTCCCTTGTCTTTCTCAGTGTCAATAATTACACATCCTGCCCTGACAAAAACATACTAGTGATATCAGATGTAAAATATGATATGACCAATAAGTTATGACAGCGTGTGTTTTTACATTACTTTAACTCATCAAAATAAGTTAAGCAATTTTCAACTTTATTTTATAAGTTGTACAAGGTTCAACTAATTTTTAAAACAGTTAAATGTAATTTAAGTTGAAATCACAAACAGCTAAATTGACTGTACTAAGAAATTTAAGGCAGCAACTTATTTTTTACAGTGTGGTAATATTTTGATGTATTCCACGACACTGAATGATTGCAATATTCATAAATTATAGTATTTTCATGGTTCTCAAAGGTATCTCAAATAATATTATGACCTTAACATAGTACCATCATGTCCAGTAAATCAAAATGGTTGAAATATGACCATGGCAGTGTAATTGTTCAAAACAAATCATGGCAAAATAAACAAGGTACTGTAAATGTCTAAAAACAAACAAAAAAAGTATTACCATGATACAGATCCAAAAATCATAGTATTTATTCACAGTATTATCATGGTATGTCAAATAAACCATGGTAACTAATACCATGATAAAATACTTAAACAAGTACAGTAAACAAGTTAGAACCATTGTACACATAGGAAAAAAACAGGGTTTTTCCTAATATCATGGCGCGTATCTAAAAAACACAAGGTAAAACCACAGTACATAAGTGACAAGGTAATACCATGGCACATGTAAAAAAATCAAAAATAGCAATAACATGGTGCATGTTTAAAAACAAGGTAATAAAATGGTACATGTAAAAAAAACAAGTTAATAATATGGTGCATATCTAAAAAGCAAGTTAATATATATAAAAAAACTAATACCATGTACACTTCTAAAATACAATGGTATTGGTTTAAACCAAATGTTGTCTACAAAAAACTAGGCAATACCATGGTACAGTACACATCAAATACAATTACTTTTATTTTTAGTATTTTATTTTCAATAGATTTTAATAGATGTATACGTAGATTTATAATATGGGCCATTTATGGGTTATCAGACATAACATGAAAACAATACAAATTTAGCATTTTAATAGTACAGAAAATGGGCAATAAATATAAGGAAATATAATGGAAAAGTACGTCCAAAAAAACCCACTGTGAAAGCTGTCCCTCCCATCCTCTTTCGCAGAACATAAAGAATGAACACAAGCATGTGCTTTACGAAAGTTGAGGCCTCCTCTCAGAGATCTGTGAAAGCAGCACAAACGGAGCTGGAGTGTGAATGAAACACCACAAGCCCAGCGATCCAGCGCCGACAGTCAATCACGCGGCACCCCCACCGTGCGTGCGTGCGTGTGTGTGTGTGTGTGTGTGTGTGTGTGCACATGTGCGAGGCCAGGCAGACAGTCAGCGGGGACCTGCCGATTCAATCCAAACCACCACGAGATTTCACCACTCTGACAGCAAAACCTTTTAGCCTTTCCATTCACCCCTACAAACGGTTTGTTAACATTACAGCCTCAGAACGACCGGATAAAAGGTCACGCAACCTTTCGGAAAACCTTTTTCTGTCACTTTTAATGAAGACTCTTACATAACAGCGCCACGGTAGTTCTGAAACTGCAGGAAACAAATGCTGAAATACTGAACTGACCCGCGAAGTAATCTCATTGGCAGTGGGACGTACAACACATGATACGACTCATTCTGCAGACAAAACCTGTTCTACAAAGCGGAGCTATTTTTCAAAGAGCTACCCAGTGACCTGAGCATGCACGTCATGTGACCCACCTTGTGATTTTTATCAGGAAGGGTATTTGAGACCTGCCCGCCTGGGGTGAAAATGCTTTTTCAGTCTGTTTGTTGTTAAATTGATTTGTATTTGTCGATATGGTTGCCATCCTGTAAAACTAGACACAAAAATTGTGTGTGTGTGTTCAGCAGACATGTCAGGGGCCCTCATTTCTCATCTCTGCGGGTCTCTGTTTGCAATGACCCTGCTTATGTAAAGAAGGATGCAGAGACACATAAACACACTTACACTAGAGAGCTTCGTGCTGCTGTTACTTAACGCACACTGGGTCTAAGGATGTCTGCTGGGATGTGAAGCCTTCTGGTGCCCGGCCAGCCTGAAAACTTTCCCAAATCCCAGGGGGGGAACGCAGGCCCCCTGTGATCAACAACAGCCACTGTTGAAAGCCCAGAGAGCTGCATTTACAGTATGTGTGTGTCTTTGGAAAGCAATGACATCCTGAAGAAAAAACAGAGATGTGCACTGTAGCTTAATATAATAATATTAGTGGTTGGTGATTATTTATTAATAATATTCCCATCCAAGGAATGTTGAAAATTTGCATAAAAATATGAGGGGAAAAAATGATAAAAGTTGATAAAACTGCCTCCAGCTTTTCTAGGAAGTACATGCAACAAAATAATGCACAGATGAAATCACAATAACCACAACATTCCAAAAAATCATTAAACACATCAATGAATAAATGAATGAATGAACACTGCCATTCAAAGGTTTGGGGTCAGTGTGATTGTTTTCATGTTTTTAAAAAGATGTCTCTTGTGCTGCATTTATTTGATCAAAAATTCTATAAAAACAATAATATTGTGAAATATTATTAAAATTTAAAATAACAGATTTCTGTTTTAATATATGTTAAAATGTAATTTAATCCTGAATTTTAAGCAGTCATTACTCCAGTCTTCAGTGTCATGTGATCCTTCAGAAATCATTTTAATATGCTGATTTGCTGCTCAAGAAACACATCAGTGTTAAAAATAGTTGTGCTAATTAACATTTTTGTGGTGACATTTTTTTTCAGGATTCTTTAATAAAAAGAGAATAGAATAATAAAATTGAGTTTTAAAATTGAACTTTAGAATTGCCTTTACTGTCACCTTTGATCAATTTAATGCATCCTTGAAGAAAAGAAAAATACTGACCTTTAATGAAGAATAAATTAACATGAAGAATAGATTCACAATTCTGGCATTTTATTGTGAGAAAAATAATTATAAAAAATATTTACTGTAAATAATCTCAAATATAGTTTCATGACCCTTAAAATATATGGCTAAATTGTTTTCTCAATTCAATCACCATGGACTGATTTGGCAAAAAGTTCATTTTGGACCCTGTATGTAACTCATCTGAACTTCAACCTCCTGAGAGCTGCCATAAATCAAGGCTGGTAAGCCTCAGCTGGAGTTTCACCAATGACCCCACTAGTTTCCACACACCATATCAGTTGCAGCTCATAACGTTCAGTTTCCAGCCCACACAACACGTATACAGATTCAAATACAAGAGCACAAGAGGCCCGAAATAGCTCTTCCCTGCGTACGCTTACCCTCTATAAACCGCAGTGTACACACCCATTTCACACACAACGTAAAATAAAAGCGTGAAAGGCATCTTACCCACACATGCACATAAAAACACAAGGTGGCACACTCCCACACAAACATACATCTCCTTGATAGTCCATTCTGCAGATTAAAGATTGAAAGTGGGGCAGATGATGACAAGAAAAAAATGAAAATGACTGCAGTGGTAGAAATGAAAAGAAACTTCCTCCACCCCCCACTCTCATACGCATAAATACACCAACACAGCTCCGCTTCATTATACCATCCCATTCAAATCCATATCACCTGGGGGAACGGCCCAGTCAGCCCTGCAGAACCACAGAGAAGCACCGGGATAATTGATAATTAATTGAGAGAAAGATCTGGGGCCTTTTAATTAACTATATGAGAAACGCTGCACAATTTTAAGTAACGCAGCACTGGTTACTGAAAAGCCCTTAAGAGGAATTTCCAGATTAGACTGCAGTGCTTCATGTCTTTTCAACTGACCCATTTAATGGAAAAACTTCTTATCATCTGACCCCTAGTGATTAGTTAACATGATTAAACTGCTGTGAGAAAACTGAATAAACCAAGCGAGAGTGGAAAGCTGTCATGTCTTGAAACACAGCAATTAGTTAACTCTTTGGTTATACGATACAAATTATATTTTTTTAGTTTGCGTGTGACAAATACAGAACTTATTTAAATTATTGAGTTTTTCAGCTTTTTAACACAATAATATCACAAATTAGAAAATGAAATAATAATGACATGTATTATGAATATCAATGATGAAGATGAAGATGATGATGTATTTCATCTTTGACACAATAATAACAAAAATATTAAAACAAAACAAAAAAACATGGCTTACTTGTATTAATAATAATAATAATTTACAATATACAACAATAAAAATATATTTTTATTCATATTTATAATTTTAAAACCATTATTTTTATGCAAAGTTGTTTTGCTATCTAAATTACAATGAATATTCATAATATCATAATTTACATAATCATTATTATTATTAATTTTGTTGCATATTTTATTATATTTATGCAAAACTGTTTTTCAAAACTTACGTTTAAATTGCCCATATGAGAATGAATGGTTATGAAAAGTAAACATGAACAATTATGCAAATATGTTACTTTAAGTATGTTACTTTTTATTGTTTATAATTTAATGGACAGTGCTGTCATTGTCTTGATGCTATTCTTTAGATATCAATATAACTACTGTATAACTTTAGGTAGCTATCCTCGATAACCAAATCAATCTCTAATTGCCCAATTCACAGTTTAAAGCGTCTGTGACTTGGCACACGAAATGTGGCTCCTCTAAAAAATAGTAATGCTGAATGATTTTTTTTACCACACCAAATAACAACAAAATCCTCTTTCCAAAAATTTAATAGAGAATGCTTACTGAAAGGTCTGAATTATCCTGAGATTTGGGAAATTGGAGTAACCATGGGAAGTTGGTGTAACAATGTGTAATTCCTTTACAATGTATTACAAAATCTGCCCTCAGGCTTAAGAGATTAAACAGCAGCACCGACAACAACAAGTTCACCGCTTTCTAAGCTAGAACAGGCAGGATTGAGAAATATTACTATTGATGGAACAATCACGCGCTACTCTTGGCAAACAGATTGTGAGAATTCAATGAAACCCGCTAATATAACAACTTCTGAGCAGATAGAGCGAGGGCTACGGCATATCATCTGACAAAGTTTTTCACAGAGAAAACTATTTGGAAACAGTTGCGTTCCCTTGTCTTTGGACTTGAACGTTTGAAGGCTCTGCGGCGAATGGGAAAGAATGTCTTTGTGCTCAAAGTAGACTACCCTTGAAATTGCGAGTCTACCATATAATGTTTCTCTAAGGGTGGGTTCCTGTCACAGAAGCTCAAAAAGTACTGCCTCCTCTCTGAAGTTGCTCAAAGCCCAAAAAATACAGTGCTATTCTGTGTTCCACAGCACACCCCATATTTTACCCCCTGCACTGTCTCTCTGTCAGTGGCTGAGAGGAATCGCCAGAGCTCAGTTTGTGCTTCAACATTGAGGTAACTAGTATGAATAGGTTGCTGAGTGAACAGGCCACATGAATCAAATCATTTCCCAATAGGAAAAAAGAAGCAGCCCTCCTTCAGCCCCTTTCTGGTATATCTTTCCTGATGTACTGCAATCTCCAGAACAACACAAGCACGCTCAGCAAGAGGACCATCCTCGCAGTAATGACCCCGGCCCAGTCAATTCAAGTTCATGGACACGCAAGGTTACAACTCTTCAGCCAGTGTCAACTAGAAATTCTCTGACAGCTGGTTATGCATCAAGTACTGACATTTACTAGAATCACAATCGCATTGAATGTGGGTAGGTGTCAGACTGGCTTGGTGTAGAAACATGTATCGTGACATGCATGGCCGGTGCTACATTCAGTCATACCGGAACATTTTCATGTATTTATGTAGTTTTTCTTCTAAAGGTCATACTGAAAGCTTGGTACAGCCATGTAAAGTAACATTAGCCTAAGTAGGTGAATCCAGGGTTAGCATGATTTTGCCAAGTAGGACAAACTCTTGGATCTTAGTCCTGGAATATATAAACATATGCCTCTCTTACACTAAAACAAACCCTTAACATTATCTACCCCTAAAATCACAGTTGATAACAATGTGGAAGACCCAAGCCCACACTAACCATTTAATCTGATTGGTTGGTAGGAACACTGACCCAGGACCAACAGATCCACGAACACATCCTACTCGTGAAATTATGGTCACTGTGGATCCAGACCAATCTCATCTTCAAAACACAAATTCATGTGCAGTATTTTTCAATTTCGGCCATCCATTAAAATTTCAAGCAAGCAAAACTTTCAAGAATCAAACGTCAGTACATGCTTGACGCACAAGAACAGACCATATTGGTTCTTGCATGTCAAGGAAGCACAACTGAGCTTCTGTTTACCATATTAGATGTGCTCCATGTAAGTGCATCAATCAATGTTTATATGTCACCCTGGACCACAAAACCCGGGGTCAATTTTTCGAAATTGAGATTTATACATCACCTGAAAGCTGAATAAATAAGCTTTCCATTGATGTATGATGTATGTATTGTTAGCATAGGACAATATTTGGCCAAGATACAACTATTTGAAAATCTGGAATCTGAGGGTGCAAAAAAATCTAAATATTGAGAAAATCGCCTTTAAAGTTGTCCAAATGAATTCTTATCAGTGCATATTACTAATCAAAAATTTTGTTTTAATATATTTACAGTAGGAAATTTACAAAATATCTTCATGGAACATGATCTTTACTAAATATCGTAATGATTTTTGGCATAAAAGAAAAATCAATCATTTTGACCCATACAATGTATTTTTTGCTATTGCTACAAATATACCCCAGCGACTTAAGACTGGTTTTGTGCTCCAGGGTCACATATGTGAATAAAAGCTTCAATTAAATCTGTTAATTATAATAAAGCAATCACATCTTTTCTGAAAACAAGAAATGTTGCCTTGGGAACTAGCTGAAATAAAAAAAGTTAACGTTTATTTTAAGTAATGCATTTTTTATGGGTTTAGTTTTAATTGACTATAATAACCCTGATACTGCTTCCTTGCAAGCTTTCTATAGATATATACTATAGCATAATGAACGTGCCCCACTCACCACTGAAAGAGAGAGATTTATGAAGTCAACTAGGAAATGCTTTCCGTTAGTAGATGGTGTTTTTTCATGAGATGGATATCAGACTGCATTCAGACTGCTGAAGAAGAGAGTTCCCCCTGTTCCCCTCCCTCGCGCCTGCTCTCCTTCTCATCTCCAACTGTGAAGGGTAAATAAATAGCAATTCCGGACGTGACATGAAATGTTTAACAGAGCCAAGGCTGTAGT